AAATCTGTGCCAAAAATTAGCACGTCATCCATATATAAGTAAATTTGCTATTTTGGAATTTGCTATATATGCACATATCGGATTCATTTATGTTGTAGCCATTGACTAAAATGACTTCATCAAAATTTTGATGCTACAATTTTGCTGTTTATTTAAGCCCATACAATGACTTGATAAGCTTACAAACCTTATACTCTTATCCTGGAATAATAAACCCTTTTGATTATTTCATATAGACTTTCTCTTCTAATTCACCATTTAATAATGCTATCTTGACATCCATTTGATGAAGTACCAATGTATAAATCGATGTAAAAGAGATTAAAAGTCTAATTATAGCAATTCTAGCTACTGAAGTATAAGTATCAAAGTAGTCAATCTCTTATTTTTATGTAAAGCCTATAACTACTAATTTTGCTTTGAACTTCTCTATGGTTTTATTCACCTTCATTTTCTTTTTGCAAATCTATTTACAACCTATTGGTTTGGAACCTAATGGAAGATCAACCAAAATCTAAGTATTATTTCCCATTATTGAGTTCATCTCATCATATATTACTTTTTTTCTAAAATGCAAAATTTTGAGATTTCATTTCCTCGTCATATATAATAGGGTTCGATTCAAAATTAAAACAATAAGGAATTTTATTGTGTATATTTTCTCCTATTCCTTATACATGGAACGTATAAAAGTTTGGACAAAAATCTTTTGCCTTTCTAGCCATTTTGCTTTTCCTTATTTTTGGACTAGATTTATTATTATTTTCATTTTGTTCTAATAGAATGTCATTTGATTGAACTAATTGTAGTGATTGTAGTTATCTTGAAATAGAATTGAATATATTTTCATCAAATATTGCATCTCTTGATTCAAAAATAACGTAGATTGGAATTAAATTATTTGCTTCAAGTACCATGAATTTATATGCTTTACAATGTTGTGCATATCCTGTGAATATATATTCTATCCCTTCTTCACCCAATTTCTTTCATTCGGGTTTCAAAACTTTAACTACAGCTTTACATCCCCAAACCTTCAAATAACTAAGGTTTGGTTTCCTTTTCTTTCGTTGCTCATATAAGGTTATCTTAGTTTTCTTTTTAAGAATTCTATTTAATATGCAACAAGTTATTAATAAAGCTTCTCCTTAAAACCCTTTTCCAAGACTTGAATATGATAACATAGTATTTACCATTTTGATCAAGACTTTAATTTTTTGTTCTACCACATTATTATGTTATGGTGTGTAAGATGTTGAAATATGATGAATTATCCTGGTGGAGACAAAATAACTTGGATTATAATATTCTCCACTTCTATTCGACCTTAAGCATTTGGTAAAAGACTCACATTTTAATTGAAACACTTCAGCTTTAGAATGCAACATATATAAATATTAATGTCTAGAGAAACCATCAATGAATGTGACAAAATATTTATTTCCTACTAATGTAGGTATACTATGCATACCACAAATATCATTATGTATTAGTTTAAGTAATTTAGTTTTTTTTAAGCTTTAGGAAAAGGATTTTTAGTTATTTTTGTTAGTATGCATGTATTGCATCTATCAATATTTTGGTTAAATTATGGAATTAAGTTCATTTTATACATATCATTCAATATTCTATAATTTAAATGGCCTAATCTATAGTGCCATAAATAAGAAGATTTTAACCAGAAAAGTAAAAATAACAGTCTTATTCTTATTATTATTAATAATATTTAGTTTGAATATTGCCTCATACATGTAATCTTTCTTAACAAATATTCCCCTCTTGGACAAAATGAATTTATTTGCCTCAAATATAAGCTTAAAATCAAACTTATTCAATAGACTTCCAAATACTAATTTTTTTTTAACTTTTAGAATATAGTATACATCTTTCAAATTAAAGATTTTTCAAAAGTGAACTTAAGTTCAACAATCCCTTTACCTTAATAATTATAGTAAAAGAATTTCCCATGTATAAAAAAATTCCATTGTCACTTGGTGTGAAATTTTTGAACAAACCCTTGTCATTGCATACATGCTTTGTTACTCCTAAATTAACCCACTGAGCATCATTTTCTTTAAGCACATTGAATTTAGAAATCAATGCTATAAAATTTTCAAAAGCAGTACCATTTGAAAAGTAATTTTCTTCTTCAATAATTGACATTCTTTCTTGAAATGTCATGCTTTTCTATAATGGAAGCATATGCATTTGTTCTTTCTTTTGAATTTAGGAACATTAGTATTCTGTTTGAACTTCTTTTTAGCAGGTTAGTGGTCTTTTATTCCTCTACAATGTGTACTTTAATTTCACTAAAAACAACAACTTGTTCTTATTGTATGTATGGCTTTTCAATTCAAAGATGATTTATTAAAGCCTCAAAAGTTATTTCCTCTTTCTTGTGCTTCAGACTTCTTTTAAAGTCTTTCCATGATGAAGGATGTTTGTCTATAATCGAGGATACAATTGTGATTTCATCCATGTTTATCTTATATTGCTTAATCTAATTAAGCATTCATTCAATTTCATGCAGTTGTTTAATAATAGAACGCCCATCAACCATTTGATAATTATTAAAGCGATTGATAAGAAATTTTTAGTTGTTTCATCTTTTATCATTTACCTATCTCCTAGTTTGTCTCATAATTCTTTTGCAGTAGCCTCATTTTGGTATGTGTCAAATAAACCATCAGTTAGACCATTTAAAATGTGACCTTTGCATATATATAATCTGCATTGTCCCATTTTTGTTTTTCCTTTGGTTACAACAATAGATTCATTTTCACTCTCTTATGGTCTAGGCATTATCAAGAAATAGACAACCTTCAATGTTGACAGTAAGAAATACCTCTTCTTTTGTCATCTTAAAAAGTTACCACTATCAAATTGATTCGATTTCAGAAAGTCAAAGGCTAGTTCTCTTAATATTTCACTTGTAACAACCATTATCGAAAGAGAAATAAAACCTTAAGATTGTTAGAGCATTGAACTAGAAAAACGAAATTGCTTCAAGATGTGTAACAACACCACTATCTTTAAGGTTTTATTCACTCTCCTTGATTTGTGTGCAAAGATTATAGGTGATAAATTTCGAGAATACAATGAAGCTCAATGATTAATTGCTTTTTGCATTGATAAAATTAATCTATTGAGCATCCATAGATATTTAGCAAGATTACATAGACTTCTATAAGATTTTCTACAGCAAAATAATATAGAAGAAAATCTAGAGAATATCGAAAAGGAAAGAAAGATTTGTCCTTTATTGTTTTTGTGAGGTTTTTGTTTCAAAAGAGGGTCTTATTTATAGATAATTGAGACAGTTTTTCAGCAGACACAATTGTGTCTATTTTTGTCAGTTTTAACCATTATGTTGATTGGTTTTCTAATAGATATAATTATTTTTCAAACAATAGACATAATTGTTTTATTTGTTCCTAATAGTTATAGTTATCTGTTGACAAAAATTTCAAAAATATTTGTTTAATTACCTGCACCTACACGTGGCAAAGTGCCAAATACCATTACAAATAATTAAATATTAAATTTAATTAATTTCAAGCCCACCTAAGCTTAGAAAGTCCATCTGTGGTCCATTGCCAACTAAAGTCCAATTATAATGGACTTATACCCCTTTTTATTTAAATGACTCTTTTCCTTTTATTTTTCCAATGTGAGATTGTTTCATGACATAATCCAACAAATGATGTGTCATGTTGATACGCCATGATGATATAACTATGTGGCATTTTTCATCTTCCAAATCAACGCTACATCAATGTCACATGAGAATGAAATTGACAAATGGCATGTTGACTATAGTCAATTAGTCAGTCATTAATTATAAAACCCTACTTGACTCAAAAATAAAAATATAAGAACTTAATTGAAACGTAATAGAAAAATAAAGACTTACTGAAATTTTTTAAAATAATTTAAGAGCTTTTTCAAGCATTATCTTTATATTATATAAAAAAAATCATACTATACACTATGAGTGGAATTTTTATATTTTACCAGTAGAATTAGAAAGTTATTATGTATTTTAATAGGGTATATTTAAAAAAAATTATAAATTAATATGATAAAATGAGATGTAATAATATTAACCCAACCTTACTTGTATTCTAAATAAAAAAATATTAACGAGAGGTTTTTTAATCTCTTGCTAGAAAAACAAATTTATAAATTAACATGAAGTATTGTTTTGTTCAAAAGTACTTCCTTTGTCCTTCTCTTTAACCTTCTCCCTCTTTTCTCTACCTCTCAACTTCAACTACATACCCTCTATGGCCTCCTTTCATTTGCCTTTGGTTGATTTAGGCCTTTGTTTTTTTCAATTAATAAATAAAGCCAACCAATGAGAGAATGGAAAACGAATATTATAGAAACGAAAGAGGAGAAAGAAAAACAAAGAGAAGGTCGGCCATTGACCGGCTTAACTACATTGGAAAGAGACAACTAGAATAAAATGGAAAAGAGGAAAGGAGTTATAAAAATTATGAAGTACAAAACAAGTCATAAGTGTGTTAAACAGTCTTTTTTTTTCGATTAAATCTAGTTATTTTATTAAATATCATAAAAATTGATATTAAATCTTAACTAAAACTATAAATGTGATTAAAATAGATCATGTAAATTAGAACTCAACAAAAGTCTATTGATATAAATACATTTAAAAACTATATTTCTATCATAAATCATATTCTTACATAATAATTATCTCATTAATGAACCAACAATAGAACATATTGCAGTCAACTCATAGTATAAACATTTTCTTAATCAAATTGAACAAAAAGGCTTGAATTGTTTAATTTTTAAAATTGAATGGTCCAATCAGTACATTTGGCAATGAAGTATTTAATTGCATTTGTAAAAAGTCATTGGGTCTTTTATTACGAACAAAGCATATAGCTATTTTTAATGTGTGGTAATACTTCACATAATAAAAGAAAAGACAAAGATCGTATAAATTACTCCAAGGGATGCCGGGACACCGAACCAGACAAAAGCTGAAACAGAGCAACACTTGCATCCAACCGCATGATAAAATTGAAACCTGACATGTTCAATTTAGAATAACCATTTCAACTACTTTCCAATTTTCAACAGATCAAACAAACCCTTATTGGAACAAGAATCAGCAGCAATGCTTATGGTGGCTGCTCTTCACATCACTCTCTCACTCTCGCGAACCAATCAAAGTCCTCTTTCGAAGCAAAATCCGACAGCAGGAAATGTTCTCAATGGGGTCTCTTGCTTTCTTCCCGAAAGCTCCATTAAAACCCTTAAAACCCCATAAACCCCTCAATCTCCAAATACCCATTAGCTGTCTGTGTGTCAAAAGTTCAATGGAAGTGCCAGCTACTGCTTCTGCTACGAATTTTGAATTCAAGAATTTGATGGAAACATTCACAGTGGAAGTTCAGAAAGCTGAGAACAGACCACTGAATGTACCTTTGATCGCTCCTTTCACTATAGCCTCTTCTAGGCTTGATAAGGTGGAGAATGTGGCCATCAGGATCGAGTTGAAAAATGGATGTGTTGGTTGGGGTGAGGCTCCGATTCTGCCTTTGGTTACGGCAGAGGATCAGCCTACTGCCATGGCTAAAGCCCAGGAGGCTTGTGATGTGCTTAAGAGTTCTTCTTCCATGACTCTTGCGGCAGTACTGGGGCAGATTGCTGATGTTTTGCCTGGACATCAGTTTGCTTCTGTGAGTTTTAATTCGTTTTTTCTTTTTTAGCTGTTTTGGAGTTTTGAGTTCTCTTCTGCTTTTTTTTTCTTTGTGGTAGTCCGCTCTTTGGATTTAGTCTTGGTTGTTTGGATTTTAACTGCTTAATTATTTTACGTGGTTGACCAAATCTTTATTTCGTTTAGTTAGTGAGGAAGTGTTTATGAATGATGGTACAAATTTAAGGCTTAAGTAAATTCCGAACTTCCTAGTAAATTTAATTCAAAAAACATAGTAGTTGATTGACTTAAATTGGTCCTTCCATACTTTTCCCCCTCTATTTACTCAGCAACCAGGAACAAGTGGAATTTTTTAGAAACGATGCTCCTTTGTTGCTTATTTAGATCATAGTAAGCTTTAAGGACTTTGATGAATTTAAAGTTGGCATTTGGGTTCTAGATCGTATTAAACTTTAAGGACTTTCAACTGAGCCAGCACATTCTAATAGTAATGACTTGTTATACATTCATAAAACATTCTTATGAATGATCTAGATAAATTCTTATTAAACATAGAACTGTAGAATCATTTTATATCGGAATTGGTCTCAATGCGCATGTGGATGACTTTCTTTTGAACGTTAGGACTACTGTTGTGTTGTGAAAATAGCAGAATAATTTTTTAAAAAAATGGTTTGACATTGTTTCTAAAAATCTGAAATATATATATATTGTGTGCGTGGGTGCGTGTGCTTTTCGTCTTTTGGTCAAAATAGATGTCTATAGTCAATTCCATCTTTCAGCTTTGATAATGAGAGGGTTATTCCCCTTGTAGACTGTTCTTGCAATAGAAATTTATGTAAAGAGTTTGAGAGAGACAGAGAGAGCACATGCGCGCGTAAACATACACATTTTCTCTTCCTGTTTCTTTTTTGAATTCTTATTGCATAGGAGTGCTTTTTTTATTATAATAGGCCATTATTGCACCTGAAGCTGAGGTCTATGAACACACTTTCTATATCTCATTTTCATTTCTGAATTCTCATGACCTAGAGGATTCTGTATCCATCGAATACTGTTCTTGAAATTAAAGGTTGGGGTGAGAGTTTAGTCAGCACATGCATGTGAACCTTACAGTCTAATGGAAGATTATAATTCTCCTTTATTCTGTTTCATTTTTTAATTCTCATAAATAGGAGGGTTTTATATTTCATTAGACTGTTCTTGCGACTGAAGGTTAGGGCAGGAGTTGAGATGGCATTGGTTGATGCTGTTGCTAAGAGCATTGGCATACCTCTGTGGAGACTATTTGGTGGAGCTTCAAATACAATAACCACTGATATAACAGTTCAGTTTCTCTCTTCCTTCATATTTTTCTGTTGTTGACCCCTTTCTCCATCTCTTTCTTTGTCCTTTAAAGAGAAGTAAAATCTGGGAGAAATCACCTACTACAGGTGGTGGTCTCTGCTTGAAATGTTAGTTTCCATCTGTCACTTTAGCCTTTTATGTTTGCAGATTCCTATTGTTTCCCCAGCTGAGGCTCATGTATTAGCTACAAAGTATCGCAAACAAGGATTCAAGACTTTGAAGCTTAAGGTGGGAAAGAACCTGAAAGCTGACATCGAAGTTTTACAAGCGATACGTGCGGCCCACCCTGATTGTTCATTCATCTTGGATGCTAATGAGGGATATAGACCTGAGGAGGCTATTGAAGTTCTTACAAGATTACATGGTAGAGAATATACTTGAAATACCAAGTTAAGATTCTCCATACCGGCTATGAGAAAAATGAGCACAAAGCAACAAATTATTTGCATGTGCATGATCTTACATTGAAACTTTTGTAACTTGCCCCAATGAATTATATTTCAGCACTTTTTGGTATCTAGTATCTTCAATTTTTCTTGAAAGTTGAAGCTTTTTTCTTCCTGCAGAAATGGGGGTGACTCCCGATCTATTTGAACAGCCAGTTCATAGAGACGATTGGGAAGGTCTTGGTCGTGTTAGTCGTTATGCTAAAAGCAAATATGGGGTATCTGTTGCTGCAGATGAGAGCTGTCGGACTTTAGCTGATGTTAAGAAAATAGTAGAGGGAGAACTTGCAGATGTTGTAAATGTTAAGCTTGCCAAAGTTGGAGTCCTTGGTGCTCTCGAAATTATTGAGTTGGCAAGGGCATCAGGACTATGTCTCATGATTGGTGGAATGGTGGAAACCAGGCTGGCCATGGGCTTTGCTGGCCATCTTGCTGCTGGCCTTGGATGTTTCAAGTGAGTTTCATCATCCTTGTTAGAGAAATGACAACAGTAGCTTGCCTATGTATATACATCGGCTCTCACAAGTATCAGTTGCATTCTGTTTTATAAGTTTAATTTTCTTGTTTTAACTTGCAAATATGCTGCATAGATTTGTTGATTTGGATACTCCTCTTCTCCTGTCAGAAGATCCCGTTCTTGAAGGATATGAAGGTATTGTACCCCTGAACTTAACAATATGTTATGTTTGGTTTGAACAATATGTTATGTTTGGTTTGTCCAATATGTGGTCACTCCTCATTTTATGGTAATAAATTGAATATGACCGTGTATAATTATTTGTGACTAGTTCTCGGTGCTGTTTACAAGTTCACAAACTCTACAGGCCATGGTGGTTTCCTTTATTGGGAAAATATTGCATGGTAAGCCCCTAGTTTACCACCAAAATTTTGGCAGAATGTGCTTGAGATCCAACATTCTATAACTTCTTGTTGACATTGTTCTAGAGGTCATTGACAACTCATTTTTTTGTTGATTGGAAGCTTAGAACTCTTGGCTATAAACCTTTGGGCTGAGAGGTACATACACTCAATCATCATGAAAATAGCAACGATAAAAAAGAAAAAATCAACAATGCATGGGCAATTAAGTCTTTATATATATATATATATATATATTGTATGTTTGGAAAAATGCTATTAGCTTTTGAGGATCATGAGCACAAGAAGTTAGTTTGGTTCCCATATGCTACTTCTTAACTATTGCTTAGTAACTGAGTTGGTTCTTAAGGAGGCTTTTACTTGTACTCTAGTTTGTCTCTATAGCACATAAACTGTAGTTTCAATCTGATTGATCCACTGAATTACGGTGTTGACAAAGTTTAAAGAATTGTAATGAAGAAAAAACCTCATCTTTCTCTCTACAGAAGTCAAAGATGGCAGCACTCATTACTGGAATTAGTGATTCTGGTTAGGTGGCACCTGTTCAATTACTGGGATTTGGTTTGTGGATAGATGAAGGCTTGGAAATGGCAATGCTTAGGTTGTTATATATATATATATATATTTATACTCATATATTTACTTGAGTCACTGTTGCCATTGATTAATGTCATTAATCTATGTATCTGAAGATCATACTTTAAAAAATCCACTAATTATCACATTTTAACTTACGCTTTTGTAGTAGTTGGCTCTCTAAACTAGATATTAGCATCCAAACTTTTTCTTGCTTGCTGTCCTGGATCATATTGCCTAGCTTCTTAGGGTCTAAAGCAAGCCTTGGGGTTTAAAGCAAGGTTGCTTCTGTATCCTGTACACAGAATATCAATACGTGTACTCATAGTCCATCCTCTGTAGTAAATTGAACTTGATACCATTGACAACATACCCACATGAAGTTTTCTTGCCATGAGGCATGACTTGTTAATATTGTTATTCCCCTTCTACTGTTGCTAACAATGATATTTGCTTGCAGAAATTATAAATTCAGTAGCTTTATCAATGCTGGAATTCTGAGCAGAGGAGCTCCATATAGTTTTCATATTTGTCAGACAGGTTTTTTAAAGTGGCGGGGTAGACCTCCAGGTTTTAATTGGATTGTTAACAGTAAACAAGTGCACAAGAAGTTCTCATATTGGCAAACAAAGAAGTGTGTGCAGCTTAGGTGCATGGAAGTTGGAACAAGTTATTGCAGTAATCTTCACTTTGAAAATGTTTTTCACAGCAAATACAACTATATCCTGTCTATATAGTTATATTATCAATGCAATTTTAACTCAAAACTGTGAGTGAAATCCATTCTCATTGGATGCGTCATATAATCTATAATAATTTTCTTTCTAATTTTTACAAAACAGCCCAAATCTTGCATTTTACAACCAAGCCGACGAATATCCCTTTACAACATCTACAGCATCCTCAAAACACATCAGAACAAGTTTAATCAAACACCAACAAGACATCATTTGGCCTCGGCACCTTTTCCTTGACAAGGTAAATTACAAATTGTATTAACGTAGATACTTAATTTTGGTGAATATTTATTTTTTTAAAAATTATTCTATAACATAATATTGTATAAAAAATAATGAGAATAATCATTATAAATGAAGCATTATTTCACATAAACTTAAAATAAGTGAAGCATTATTCTATGCGAAACAACTGATATAAGTAAAGTAACTACTTCGCACAAAATAATCATTTCATATGGATAGTAGTGAAAGTAACTTAGAATAAGTAGTAGGGTTTACAAGTTACTTTTATCTTAGGATGTTTTGAAGAGTTTGACTTAATGGTTTAGATACAGGGGTAGTTAAGAGGTTTTTTTTTAATCATTTCTTGAAAGATAAGTATTTTTCCTTTTTACCATTTTGCCCTAAGGTATTCTCGTATAGTTTTCTTGTGTACCTCTTCCATTTATCATCTACTCAAGAATAAATCTCATTATATTATTAACGATTATTTTAATAGTCACATAATGGATTTCTAATTATTACTTAACATTAAAAACTTAATAATGGTCACCCAATATTAAAGTTTTTATTCATTACGTGCATTAAAGCCTATTCTTGAGTAATCGTCATATCTAACACTATATGTAGATCCTTCACAATTCGTGTCAAGGACTTTTTTTTCAGAATTACCTAAGTCTCACTCAAAGCTTCTCTCTCTTTAATTCTCTTCTACCCTTTAATTCTCTACTTATTTTCTTCACGTTCTCTTTCTTTTGCCATGACACTAAGTACTTCAAGAACTGTTTCGATGTTTTTCTTAGTCACCTTTGATACATCTTTTACTTGTTTACAACATTTCCCTTCCCTATCCCAAGAACTCTCTTTACATTTTGGTGACTCCGCTGGGGATGAGTGATTGCATTAAGTAAGACTTTTACTACCACAACTTTGTGTTACTAGAAAAGATGGAGAGTTCCATTGGCATCAAGATGCACTTGTTCCCTCCTACATTCAAGATTTGATGAGAATGATCCAAGCTTCTTAGGAGAGGATGCAAACATTGGAGGACAATAATAAGTGAATGATGAAGACTATATCTCAACTCACGTCTTCTACTACCACCACTTCTTAATCCTAACTTGTGCACCTTAGTAAAAGTGCACTTTACAGAGTCATTCCTCTAGTTACAAACACTAATGGGAATGAAGGAAATGGAGAAAGTGCAGTTGATGTAGTAGTTGTTTCAAACCTCAGTCCGAACAACTCTACTTTGTAGTTACACTAGCAATTACCTCTACTACAATAATCTCACTTGCTCATATCTAAGGTTTTGTAACAATGGAAGAGCTCTAAAAGGTATTATATCCAAAGAACTAGAGCTTGAATTTTCTAAGTTTGATCTCAAGTTGCTTTACTTGGCTAGTGTAGCTGCAAAACCATACCTAAGGATTATAGTGGCTCCAAGTTTAAACAACTTAATGGAAAATTGGAGATGTACAAGAACATGTCATGAAATTTGTGGAGACTCTTAGAACTGCTAGATTGAATGATGACCTGATATTAAAGGAGTTCTCTAAGTCTCTCATTGAATAGGCTTATATGTTGTACGTTAACTTCACCCTTGGTTCTATTTTGTCTTAGAGTCAAATGTGCAGGATTTTGGGAGAAATGTTCTTTTCTACTTAAGAAAAGGTTACTCTCATTGATCTTGGAAGAGAGTTCCAAAAATCTAGGGAAGATTTCATGGAGTACATCCAAAGTTTTAAAGAGAGTGTGTTAGACATACAAGAATCTCATTATGAAAAGGAATTGGTAAAAGTGTGCATTCAAAGGATGTTGGATGCATATAAGCTACACTTAGAGAATCTATCTTTTCCAACCTTTACTATCTTGGTGGAAGCTATATGAAGGACCAATAATACAATTCTTAAATAGAAAGGACTCACTCATTTTGGTAGAAGGAATACCTTAACAATGAATGTTATATAAAGAAGAGGTAGAGAAGAAGGGGTCCAATTTGACAAATTAGCATCCTAGAAAGGATGCCTTAAGGAAAAGGCTAGATAAGGAGAATGACTTTTCTCCACCATTTTCAGTACCTCTAGATAAAGTGAGAGCTTTTCTCTAAAAATGGGTTAAGGATATATGGGTAAATTTACCTTACACCTAACGACCACTAATAATGGAAAAGAAAGCCAACCCAAAGTATTGTGATTATCATCGAGTAATTGGTCATTCACTTGCTGAATGCAGAAACATTCGAAAAAATGTTCCATCAACGAGTGCAATTAATAGAGGTATTGATTGAAAATAATAGAGTTTAGAATAACCTCCTCAGGCTCATCCAAGTCCTTGAAGGCAAGAAAGCAAAACAATTCACGCTCACCAGGATGACCTTTCTTCATCAAACACCCAATTCAATGATACAAGTGAAAGTATTATGGTTACTTCTTCGATTGCTAACTCACTAATGAAGACACCTAGTTTTAGGCATTTCTTTGACCTTCTTGGGTTTTCAAAAGAAATAAGGAAAAAAGTGGCTATAGCATTAGTTAGATAATTAGAGAATAGTATAGAGACTGTAACATAGTAGAACGATTTATGGGGAAGATTGCTGTCACATATCAAAATACTATTGTGTCTACAGAAGTAGACATGTGTACACTCTATCCTTATCATAATAATCCCTTTTATGTGAAAAGCATATGAATGGATATCTTATTAAAAGAGCATTCATTGATGATGTTTTTTCTGTGAATCTCATACCTCTATCCATGTTGAAGGTTGTAAACATAGATTTGAAGAGTCTACATCATCCTATAACGATTAATTCTTTTGATAATAAGGAGATCATGATTTTAGTCAAATGATGATGAACTTCAAGATAGGGCCAATTTAAGATTAGGCATGTTTCCTTGTTATTCATGCAAATGTGGCTTATCATGCTCTAATTGGAAGAGAATTCTTGCACATTCACATATTATTCCTTTCTCACGCCATTAATGTATTAAGGGACAGTGGAAGGGGAAGGTGATTTTTATTTTAGCCACTAAAGCTCTGATTAAACGGCATGAGGTGAGTTATATGGAGGTTTTTTTCTTTAAGGATCCAATGGAAAATGAGGAAACAACCATTGCTAGACTTATGGGTGATCCACTTCTGCAATGGGAAGAGTATGTTGGGAATAAGATAGAAAATAGTGGCAAAAAGAAAAATTGAGGTGGGAAGAGAAGAAAAGGAAACACTTCTATAGATTAGGAAATAATTGAGGAAGAGACATCTAATAGGGTAACTTTTTATGCACATGAAATTGAGAAATTTGTGTATTGCTTATGATGGGACGTGAGGTCTAAGGAAATATCTTCCCTTGACCTTAAACTTTAGGAGGCACTAGATGCATCACCATCATGACTTCAAGTGGAAGTGGCGAAAAAAGAGGTACAAGAATTATTATACATTATTTGACTCAGCATAAATTTTCTTGATTTTTTTATTGATTTTATACTGATATTCTATAACATTAATTTTCTGCTTTAGCTTATAAATATAACATTTCTAACTCAATCACAACACGCCAATAGTTCTCTCATCTCCTTTAAAGCTTTTTGCATATTTTCTCTATTTTTCATGCTTTCCAGTTGGGTTCCTTTTTCTTTGAAAAAAAAAATCTTTCTGTTGTTCTTGCTATACTTGATTAGTTTATACAAACTAATAAAGAAAAGTCTGTTGAATCTTGGAAGATAATCGCTATAGTTTTTTTGCACCCAAATATATACTCTAAAGGGACAAAAATTATCCTTAAGGACAATGAAATCATACCTCAAACTTCTTTCTATTTCTAGTTGTGTTATTGTTAAAGATAATTGATTTCTATGTTGATAATGTTGCTGCCATTATTCTTACCGCCACCTTTGTCCTTGCTACCACCATCACCGTCAATGGTTCCACCATGGCTCCCACTCCTTTGACCATTCCTCATATGCCTTCAGTCTCATATGCCAAACCATTTTCAAATATTTCCAAAATTGAGGTTTTTAATGGTAGAAACTTCAAAAGATGGCAAGAAAAGAGTTTTCTAATCTTTGATGTTCATGGGGTGGCTTTTGCACTGACCGATTCCAAGCCAAACAATATCAAAATACTGGAACCATGGATGCATACGAAAAAGATGTTGGAAACAGAAGTTCGTGATTAGAAACTTTTATCGTTGGAAGATGACAGATGATAGCGACGTCAAGAGTGAGATCAATGAATACCACAAGTTGGTGGATGATTTGAAATTTGAAAAAATCAACTTGCAAGAAATGTTCATTGCTGGGTTGCTAATTGAGGAGCTGCCAGAATCCTAGAATGGTTACAAGCAACAATTGAAGTACAAGGAAAAGCAATTGTCACTTGTAAACTTGATTGTACACATCATCATTGGAGATAGAACTCGAAGATAGATTATGGCCTCCAAAGCTAAAAAAGTTACAAATAAAGCTAATTTGGTACAAGGCAAAAC